AGGGAAAGTAGGAGTGTTTGGCTGGAAAAGGAGGAGGGAGGGACATGCAGGGGGCCAAGGTTTGGGGGGGCGACTAAGGGAAGGAGGAATGGTGGGAGGCTGGTGTTATTGGGGGTAGGGTGAGGATAATGGGTGTGCTGGGACTAGGGAGGGAGGAGGAAGGAACAAGAGTAGGGATGAATGAATCTTAGGGGACTAGGCAACCCAGAGGGAAATGTGATGTTCTCAAAACCCCTGAGAAATGCACATACAGTGTTTTAACATAAGTATATATGTATATGTACTTATGTATATGTATTTACGTTAAAAGTACATAAGTATCTACTTTTACATATGTATGGGGGCTGTGGGGCAAGGGACACATTGCCAGACAGAAGAGACCTCCCTTTGAGTTGTTGGTGAGCATGGTCCAAGTGATTTACAAAATACCACAGGCTATTACCAAAGCTCTGTTATCCCCAGAACTAGAAGATAAGACCCTACTGCTGAAGAAAGGACATGCTTTGGATACAGGTCTTGGAGCGATGGAGCAGGAACTACTCAGTAGCCTTCTACCTGAAGTTTAGCTCTCATATTGCTAGGTGATAATATGCAAACTGTTAAGGGAGAAAATTAAGCAATGGCCCAACCCAAAGCCTAATAACCATAATAACCAGTACAGCAAACCTACCTCTAGTGGTGCTTATATTAGTATTTTTCTGTTGCTGTCATAGAAACACCATGACCAAGGGAACTTATAAAAGGAAGAGTTTATTTGAGCTTACAGTTCCAAAGTGGCAAGAGTCCATCATGGTGGGGAGGCAGAGGTGGCTGGAGCAGGAGGAGAAACCAAGCTCTCACATCTTTAAGCAGGTAAAGGAAGTGAAAGCAGCTGGAGATACGGCAAGACTTAAGAATTCTTTAAACTTGCTCCCAGTGAGGTGCTTCCTCCAGCATGGCCACACCTTCTAAGACCTCCCAAAAAATCTCCAACAACTGGGGACAAATGTCCAAATACTTGGAGCCAATGGGGGACATTCTCTTCAGACCATTGCAGGACAGTAGTGGCACTGTTACTTGGGGGATAATCAACAGCTATCTAATTTGATTTGACGACCTCTTAATGGAAGTGAACTCATGGGTGGCACTGTAAACTCAGCCAAATACACATGACTGGAGAGGTCATAGATCCTAGAGAAAACCCTATCTCTGTCATATCTCTAGATAAATGAAATTTCTTACCATATGCTAAATATGGATCCTTATATATATAGACAAGCATATTGTACATCACTCATCAAAGAAGACTTTTTTGTTTTTTGCAACAGATGGAAACTACTGCAGAATTCCATAACTGATCAGGCATAGACAATATATGTCTGAGAGTTGCCCATTCCAAGATGGCATATCTATTGTAGAACCTTTATACCCAAAGCTCATGGAACATAGTGGAACGAGGGGTAGAGAGAAAGATAATGCATCCTTCAACTCTCACCAATGTAGTTTCCTTATACAACAGAGTGTGATGCACACACAAGGCCACAACTTATTTTAAACAATAAGGGACTGCAGAGTGTGTGTCCCTGGGTAGGACTCCTATATTAAAGCTCACCCACCCATTGCTCTGGGACCATTTCAGATGAGGGGATAGAAAGACTGTAAGAGACAGGTCTGGTTCATGAACACACGGAAACAGAGGTTTTCAGACCACTGAAAGCTGGCATATGTGAACTTGTGGCAATGGTGATATCAAGAATAGGACCCATGCCAACTCAATCAGACAAGGGCCCAGAAGGGAGAAGAGAAATGGGTAACAGGATGGCCCTAGAATGGGAACTATTGGAGACTGATTACTATTGGGTGAGGGAGAGAACACCTTGCTTACTATCTTTAGATAGGCTGACTGGACTCTAGTGGATGCATTTGCACTGAAGGACATCTGGGTAAAAATGCCTGACTAGATAAGACTTAATCTATATGGTGGAATCATGAGGTCTTGTGGGGGTCTGGGGAGATATGGATGGGGGAGGAGATCTCAATTTGATTAAAAACTGTTGTATGAAACATACAAACCCTCATTTAAAAAAAAAAAAAAGACATGTAAGGGAGACAAGAAAATTAGACAAATTTAAATAAATAGCCTTTGCCTAAATGGGAGCTAAGACTGAAAACTAGGGACAGTTTTTATAAAGTGAAATTTTATTTTGGCTTGTGATTCCAGAGGGATAGTCCATAACGGTGGGGAAGCATGGCAGATGGTAAGATGGTAGCCAGAGTATGAAGCTGACAGATCACATTTTCAACCACATGCAAAGAACAAAGGGAGAATTAAGAGTGAGGTCAGAGTATAAATTTACAAAGTCTGCCCTCAGTGATCAGTAAGGCTCCATCTCCTAAAAGTTCCCTAAGCTTTCCAAACAGTGCCACCAACTGGAGTTTGGTGTTCAATGTGTTCAAAGTGTTCAAAGTGTTCAAATGCATGAGACTATGAGAAATATTTCTCATTCAAACTACCACATTCCACTCCCTGCTTCCCATTGGCTCATGGCCATATAATAATGCACGATGCGTTTAGTCCAAATTCAAACATTCCCAGTCTTTCACAGTTTCAATACTGTTCAAAAACCCAAAGTCTGTTTTGAGACTCAAGGTAATTTCTTATCTGTGACACCTTATAAAACGAAAAAGCAAGTTACATGCTTCTAACATACAATGGCACAGCATATACATTCCTATTCCATAAAAAGGGGGGGGGTGGGTATATAGTGAGGAAATACTGGACCAAAGCAAGACCAAAAATGAGCATGGAAAATGCCAATTCCTGTAGTTCCAAACCCAGTGTCTAGAACATTAATTTCTTAGGGATCAGGTGGCCCCATGCCTCCGACTTTGATGCTGGCATCATACACCTTTCTCTTGTACCAATTATACTTCGTGTACACATGGTGTTTTAGAAGAATGTGACAGATTGTGGAACTTTGTAGAAAGGCAGTTGAGTGCTATAAGCAGAGCTTAATGGGTCATTCTAACAAGAGCCTGGAAGACAGTAGCGTTGGGAGTAATGTGGTCTCTGGATGCCTAGCTTATATGTATTTCAGAGGGGATCAAGATCTCTTTTAGCCTGCATTCTAGAGGCCAGTTATGTTGTATTTTGGCAAAGGATAGGGCTGCCTTCTTTTTTAAAAAATATTTTATTTATTATTTTTATTTTACCTGTATGAGTGTATTGCCTGCTTGTATGTGAATGCACCCATGTCGTGCATTGCTGTGGAGGTCAGAAGAGGGTTTTGCATTCCCCCGGAACTGTAGTTAAGGACAGTTAGTAGCTGTCATGTGGGTGCTGGGAATCAAACCAGGGTCCTCTGCAAGACCAGTCAGTGCTCTTAACGGCTGAGCCATCTCTCCAAGAACTGCCTTCTGACTGTGTCCAGAGGAATTTCCCGAGGCTAAATTTAAAAGTACTGAATTTTGGTCTTTTGATGAAGGAAATTTCAAGAAAGCATAACACTGCGTCTGTATTACTGATAACTCTTATATAGGTATATAATGAAAAATAGCAAGTGGAGCAGAATGAAATATAGCATAAAGTCTAGCCTTGTGCTGAAGGACGGGCAATAATTGTTAAGGAGATTGGTGTTGTTAAGAAAAGCTTTCTGTTCTCCAGTGGAACAATGGGAGGAGTACCATCAGGGCAAGACTTCACCCACTTAAGTTTCCCCCTTGTGAAAGACAAAGATCTAAAAAATCTTCTGTCCTAGAATGCAACTACACACAAAGGCTACTCTCAATGTGATTTGGGAGGCAAGGGTCCATCCAAAGCTCGCAGCTGAATCTGGCAATGTCGTCCACATGGTACTGACTTTAGAGGCGTGAAAGATGCAAGAATGAGTGAGTTTTGGATTCTTCTTCCATGGTTTCAGAGAGCCACTGAAAACAGGCCATTGGTGGCAGGGGATCCGTTTGGAAAAGGTTATGACAGGCCATGGTCTGAAGCTGTGAAGGTGAAGCCTAGGTTGTGGTGGAGACCTCAAGAAGCTCGGATACCAGAGCTGTGAGGCATCTGCCAATAAGAGCTGATCTTTTATTTTCTCAGTCCATATTCTTACTACATTTACATACTTTAAACCTCTCACCACCAGTATAAACAAAGATTGAAATAAGGGGATAATCAAAGTATTGTCAAAATAATGTAGTTGAATGCAGTCACATTACTCTTACAAAATAAGTTCAGTGATAATTTTCAGTGAGGATACAAAGACACTATGAACTATTAATAGAAGCTAAGAAATCATTTACAGTATTGTTTAGTTTATTTTCTCATCTTTAAAATTTTACTTATTTTTTTTATTTTATGTATATGTGTGTATTGCATTGCATATATGTAAGTGCACCTGTGGCACACAATGCCCATGGACATCAGTAGAGGGCATCAGACCCCCTGGAACTGGAGTTAAGGATGGTTGTTAGCTACCATGTGGGTTCTGAAAACCAGACCCCGGTACTCTGAAAGAGTAGACAGTGCTCTTAACTGTTGAGCTATTTCTCCAGCCCCTCATTTTCTCATTTAAAAAAAACATGGAGTTTGGCTCTTTGTATAGTGAAAAAATCATTATTAGCATCATAATTTATAAATTTAGAATTATTAATTTATAAATAAATATCCACAAGCATAAAATATCTGTTCCAAAAAGTTAGAGATGATCAGATGTGATGCTGCTTAAAGTATGAAAATAGAATCATGGACTGAGGGAAGAAGCAATGCCACTTTCCAGAGCAGGGTGGGTAAGAAACACAAGGTCCTGCTTACTTCAGCATTATATGTACTAAGATTGGAATGATACAAAGAAGATTAGCATGGTTCCTGTGCAAAGTTAACATGCAAATTTATGAACCATTCCATATTTTGACATAGTATCAACATGCTATTTAAACTAATGTCTCTACACCTAGGTTAGTGTTAGGTTAGTGCTGTTCTGTGACCTCATCAGAGAAATTTCTTTGTGCAGATGACAAAGGTTAAGCAGAAACTCACAATTATTCAAGTCTTAGGGACCAATGAGGAAGAAGTGGCAGAAGGATTCTAAGACCCAGAGGTCAGGAAGGACCAGAAAGAAACAACGTTTTATGGATGTAGCAGTATCTCTGGACTCATGAACTTCACAGCAGCTGTCATTACCTACACAAGAGCTGCACAAGATCAAGACAATCAACATTCTAGCATGGAAGAGGAAGAGATTCGTGAGGTCTCACCATTAACTGAGGACCTATGGAGAAGTGATGCATTCTGGGGAAGGAAAAGTCAGCTTTCTTTAAGGGTATTAACCATGCTCCTGTGGATGGCCCTCTACCATAAATATATGGTCAGCATAAATTAGACTCAATGCCTTATTTAAGATTAAAAAAAGAGAACATGAAATTGGGGAAGAGTATGATGGAGGTGGGGTGGGTCTGGGAGGAGTCGGGGGTCCATATGATTAAAATACATGAAATTTTCAAAGAATCAAATTTTTTTAATAAAAAGAAACCTCGGGTCTTCAGCTGAGTTTTTCAAGGGTTGGGAATATTCAGAGAGATGCACTTAGTGGGCTTTGTTGAGTTCTGAAGTCCACATGTTCATGGCAAATATAAGCTCATTGAATGTGAAGGATGCAGTAGAGAAGTTCTCTTATATTAAAGGGGCATCAAGTCAACAGGAAGAACTGAGAGGTTCTATTTTAGAGTTTTCAAACTCTAACCCTCTGGATTACCAATATTCTACATGCATTTCTCAATCCTACTGCCTTATAAAGATCAATGCATAAGGCTAGGCAGAGATTAAGGCTATCATCTTGATGTTAAATAGCTCCATAGAATTGTTTTTGTTTAACATTAATAATATTTCCTTTGAAAAACAGCATGTTCTCATGGATGTTTTAATCTTGTTTTTGAATTATGGAATGTCATATTCCATAATTACTCCATTTATGAATGCACAAGAGTTTTCACATCTGGACACTTTTTATAAAGTTTAATAGTTAGTAGAAGATAAGTGAATAATCTTAGTAGAAATAAAAAATATAATTTTTTCAGAAATTATATGAGATAGCTAAAATTATACTGAAGCAAGAATGTGAAGTTAACCATTTACTCAGTTGCTTAACAGCTTTGAGCTTCTACATTTGTTTCTTAAGTTTTAAACTAATAGAGTTGATGAAAAGTCTGCAAATTTATTTCCATTTCTACATTTATTTGAATAAGAAAAATACAGAATTGACATTTCTACCCAATTATTTATAAGTGTTAAATGATTAAGAAGTTTAAAAAATTAAAACCTAGGACTGGGGAGACGGCTCAGCAGTTAAGAGCACTGACTGCTCTTGCAGAGAACTCAGGTTCAGTTCCCAGCACCCACAGGCAGCTAACAATTGTCCTTAATTCCAGCTCCAGGCAATCTGATGCCTTCCTCTGTGGGCATTGTATGGCACGGGTGCACTTACATACCTGCATGCATTGTATTCATACATTAAAACACAAGCTTCCTCACAGTACAATGTGATTAACGTTTCAGTTGAAGGTGATAGTAAAGGATTGCTGGTGGACTAAACATTTAACATAACTACCAATGTTATAGGCGTTCTCTCATTCAACTTTCAGATAAATTCTGCTTTGAGTCTCCAGCTTCTATCAGTATTATTTTCAGTTAAGATGGAGAAAGATGCCCCATAAGTAAAAATCATCTTACATGAGTTCTTTAAACAATTTTTCATAATAATGATAAGTTCTATATGTATTATATAATTATAACCCAACATTATATTACAGTAATATAGTTTGTGAAGAGATGAGAGTATTTCTGATGCCGTTAGGTAAGAAAGTAAAAATAGAATCATCCTCAGGTTTTATTTTCAAATGCATCGAATTTTCAACCAATATGAAATGAACCTTTTTCTTCTTGTTTTAATAGTGAATAGTTTCACTGACATGGTAGCAAGTTTAAATCATAAATATGAAGGATCTACCACTAAGTCCTTTGTCCAGTCTAAAGTGCTAAATAGCTAGTGATTAACTGAGAAATCTACAACTGTCCAATGAGCTGAGAGTGCTTATCCTTGATTAGAACACCTATATCAAACCCCTGCCTCCCAAAGTTTAGGGATCATTGTGGAAGCGGGGGGGTCAGAAAGATTGTAAGAGCCACTAATGAAGTTTCTATTCATGTCTAGAATACGTTAACTAGTAGCAAGTATCCTGTCCTGGTTCTTACATTTTTTTTCTGCCCCCTCTTCTGTGTTGTTACCTGAGCCTTGGGTGTAGATGTTGCATTGTATTAGAGATACTATAGCTACTATGCAGTCTGCTGAGGGAGAAAAACAATCAATGTAGAGTACACAGCTATGAAGTCTATAAACCACAACAATGAGTAGCCCAGCAGCTATCTTTGTTGGTATAGCAGTGGCATTTTCATAGTGAGGATAATCAGTAGCTGTCAAATTGGGCTTAAGGCCCAATAAATGAGAGGGAAATCACATGTGGCACCAAAGACATAGCCAACCACAATGGCTGCACAGGTCATAGTTCTAAGAGAAAAATACACTAAACAAATTTAATTACCTACCATATTCTAAATACATACCCTTATATCTACAGACAAGTATATCTGTCACCATTCTCCAAAGAAGATTCCTTTTGCAACAAATGGAGACTATTACAAAGATCTCCCCATGACCTTTGAGATGTGAAAGTAATAGAAAGCTGGAGTGGTAGGTGGAGAGCAAAGAAAGGAAACTGATTATATAACTCTCTCCCATAAGGTCTCTTGTAACTGACTTTGTTTTACTTCTGGGTGGCGGACTCCACTTCTGGCTCCCAGCACCCTCCTCCCACCATCCTTATGACAAACCAAGATAATATTCCTCCAAACTACAGTTTAGGGAGTAAAGGAATTTATTGCATTTGTTAAGAACATAGGGTGGTGGTGAGGGTTACGTACAAAGGTGTGGGGACCCTTGGGCTTTTCCCCTACATCATGGCTGGGGCTCCCTGACCTTTTGCTGGTGGTCCAAGATGGAAAAGGCCACCTCCTCACTCCAGTTTCCTTAGTCCCTCTGCCTCCTGCAGCTAAGGCCTACTGATTTGGTGGGAGGGGTGACTGACTCTCCATCCCTCCTTTTCTCACGGGTCAACAGTCAAGCTTATAATCTAGATGAGCAAGTACATCTAAGCTTGGGAAGGAGGCATGGCTATAGCTTGGAATTTTAGTTTGCCAGGCAGAGGATAAGCTCATACCACATCCCTATAGAGCAGCAAATCTTCAAAATTTCTCATGCAAAACTATTTGGAGATTGAATGCAAGCTAATATGTGCCTCACATATTTAGTTTAATTAAATCATATCATATGCAAATTTCCAGAGAAAGGAAAGATTAAAGACATTAAATTCTTGTGACTCACAGTATTCCAGACACCAGCGAATCTACTGGAAACAGCATACAGGGCTTTCTATGTCCTCAGTTTGCCTGCACTGGTATTTATGAAAAGATGGGCATTTGCCCCTTAATGGTTAAGAACTCTTCCTTCCAGATGTGCTCTTTTGGAAAAGTGTTCCAGCACTTGGCAGGTCAGTGAAGAAGAAGCAAGCATGTCACTGCAAGTGCTCAGCCTATTTTGTCCATAAATGGATGATTACTTTCCAAGGTTGTCAATCTCTCATAAAAGCTTACATTTAAATCATAATAATGATGCCACTTAAACTTCAGTTCATTCTGCCAGTGCTTGATTAGCAAGCTGGCTGAGCGCAATGATAGAGAGGAAGGCACATCTTCATTTCATCCAGGGTGTCATTAGAGTTTACACTGGTTCTCACATCACCATTATTATCACTGTTAATTGATATTTGTAGGGGCTGATAGGATTCCTGACATTATTTCCAATGGGAAAGATGACACAGCCTTTTTCCTAGTTCTTCTTGATAAAATTTAAATAAATACAGACATTATCCCACCTCAAAAAATGACAAGAAAGTTTTAGTTCTGAGATTTTCATACAGAAAAATAATAATTTAGATGAACTTACCTGTAGAAAATTACACTGAAAGGCTTTGGTAGTATGCATTTCATGAAGCATAAGCTTGAAAATATTTCAATATAGGTATACATTTTTTTACATGTGGTTACATATAACCCTTTAACTTATACAGAAACACGTTCAAGAGTAATAACTGCAAATCACACTCCACAGCATGCAATCTAAATGCAGACGGATATCACTTATATGCTTTTTCTTGAAATAAATATTTGTTTCTTGAAATAAATGTATTTAATGCTCACTCTACATGGAGTTACTTCTTATTTTTGCCATTGTAGGCGAGACAATAAAAATAATGACTTTGGACAGTCATTGTGTAAGGCCCACCATCTGATCTCTTCATTTCTCAGTGTGACTAGCTACGTGGACATGTTATAGACTGAAGTTAGTCATTCTTTCTTTTACCAACTCCATCAAAGCAAATTTCCCAGGAATTTGAAAGAAACTTTTGGTACATACTTTTAGGTATGCTTATAATTTTGTATTAATGTATTTTAAAAGAAGTTTTAGGGGGCTGGAGAGATGACTCAGTGATTAAGAGTACTGGTTGCTCTTGCAGAGGACCCAGGTTTGATTCCTAGCACCCACATAGTGTGGCTAATAACCGCTCATAAATCCAGTTCCAGGGGATCTGACATTCTTTTCTGACCTCTCTAGGTATTACATGGCATGGATGCACTTACATACATGCAGACAATACAGTCACACACGTAAAATTAAAATAATAGATAACATTTTTGAAGAAGACGTTTTGCATTTAGAAAGTATTGAAGGGTGGAGAGAAGGCTAGGGTGATATGAGCGCGTGCTGCTCTTTTGGAGGACACAAGTTTGTTTCTCAGCAC